TAATAATGTATTACTTCCCAGAAAGCTGACTTTGGCAGCCTTCTAGGGCAGCTAAGAGTTGCTGCTGGTTTTTCTGATTTCCGCAAACTGCATCCCAGTTTTTAAATTTTTAGCCTTGTTATCATATCAGGCATGGGTGTCAATAGCTTATCAAACCATTCTGGACAATTTTGCATGATTCCCTGTTACATAAAGCATGTGTAAACCCAATAACTAACATTTGATTTCTTTCTTGTTCATTGAAGGACACAAAGACACAGGATACAAAGACATAGGATAAGTTATATTGCTACCTATAGGGAGATTTGGATGCATACAAACAAAATAAATTTCACCAGCCTGGTATAACCCCTCATACTTTCAGCATGCCTTACTAGTGTCCTAGGCAGATAGATTTAACTTTAAACAGGGAAGCACAATGCAATGAGCACAGGAAGTTATCCGCTCACAAGACTGCTGGCAGTTATTTTTTTTATTGAACTAATTTAACAGATATAAAAAAACACTTCCAATTGTGTAATTAACAGACCAAACGAAGCAAAAATGAGAAGTTCATTGTTAGGGTTTACATACACTTTAATACACAATTTTTTTAGAGCCTGGTTCAGATTCCTATTGACATTAATGGGACTTTTGGTACTGAAATTCTGAACTTTGGAAGGTTGTGAATTATACAAAAGTTTGCCTGAACTGCAATTGATTGAATTTTTCTGAAATTTTCAAGCTCAGGAGTGGAGTCTGGTTTGATTGTTTTAACAAAATTGTAGCTTCACTTTAAAGGGCCACTAAATATAATGCCCAATTTACCCAGTATATGTGGCAAGTTATCAAATAACTTTAAATGATATGTAATTGAGTGCAATAAATGGTTTTATCAGCCATTTCATGTTACAGACTAAGTAGAGGGGACTGCAACATTCTTTAAGGCAGTTACATACTTGCCAGCATGTATTTATTTTGCATCCTTGTATGTCTTCTGTATTCACAACAATGGCATCAATTTGCATTTTAATTGTTTAAATTTCAACTCCATTTGAGAACCTTCTAACAAATCTGTCTGCATTCGTTTTTCCGAATTGTCCATTGAGAGAGACACAGGAATGTTAGCAAGGCTTTTTCATTTTATTTCTCTTCAATCAAAATACTCGGGACACCGTAGATTGTTTTCTTTTTTTGTGACTTAAAAAAATACTGTCTGAGCTAGCCCGTACACAGCAGGTATCCAAATGCCCAGCAGCAGCCATACCCACTGGACTCAGGTCAGCAACGGTATCCCTCAAATTCTTTCTCAATACATTTTTAAGTAATCCACTAAAAGATTTGAGCTGATTTGTATATTGTAAATGACCAAAGAATGCACATTTCTATGTATTCTACTTAGAGTATTATATTTTAAAATCAGTCAAAATCTCAAATTATAGAATATCAGTATCCAGAGCAAACTGCTTAATCTGAATACAAAACCTACAAAATAGTGTTTTTAACATGTGCAAAGGAAACATGATAATGGTTTTGCCGTACATGAACGCAGGGTTAGGCATCGTTCTGTCATTGCACAGTGTTCACTGAAACTCTTCTATGAGCTGTTTTGTTGATGCCTCTCAAAGATTATCACTTCTTCAGTTTCTTTCACATTTTTTCAATTACAGAAATTTACAAGTTTTTTTTACGATTCAAGACTGGAAGTCTTTCATTTTGCATGTAAACTTTATAGTTTTTTACTATCACCATTGATAGAGACAAGAGATGCAGCATTTATCATTTCTCTTTGGTCATCGTCCTTTTTGAAGCAGTTCCGAATAAACTTGTAAATTGCATATCCAGGTATTACTAGACTTGGGAGTCCAGCAAGAACAACAATAATTGCGTAGACCCAGCCTGGATATTCTTCTTCTTTTGACCTGGGAAATTCACTCTGTAAATGATCAACATGAGGAATGTTTAGTATATATTCATGAATGTGCATATATTACATAGTTACATAGTAGTTAAGGTTGAAAAAAGATACAAGTCCATTAAGTCCAACCTATGTGTGCGTGTGTGTTGGTTTTTGCATGTGACATTTTTTAAAGAGTATACATATCCTTGTATATCGCGCTCAGCAAAAAAGATATAGGGACGTTTTTGAATTTGTCAATACTCCCAGCTGCTACCACTACTTAGGATGGGAGTTTCACATTATTGCTGCTCTGACTGTAAAGAACTCGCTATGTAATTTCAGATTAAACCTCCTTTCCTCCAATGAAAACATGTCCTACTGCAGAAGCCGCAATCTTGGTTTCAACCACTTTAGAACCAAACATTTCTTTACACATGGCCATAAAAAAGCAGTTAAAGGAGAACTATGAGGTGAGTGCTTTTCACTCACCTCATAGTTCTAGCCGACCCGTGACAATGAGACTGTCACAGGTCGGCTCAGTAGATCAGGAAGTGAGCGAACACATCCCGGCGTTCGCTCACTTCTCGATCCTGTCACGGCTCTCTGCTGTGACAGGGGAGGGGCTGGATTCCCAGCTCCGATCCTCCAGCGCTGACTGTCGGAACGGACGGGGGAGGGGGCGGGTACAGCTGGCTCTGCCTCTAGATAGGCAGAGCCAGCTGTCACTCACGCAGCTTGGCAGATCCAGACATAATTGTCGGGATCCGCTTCAGCTGCGGAGTCTCAGTATACCGCGAGCTACAGCTGTGGTGTCTCAGTATACCGTAAGCTTTATCTCGCGGTATACTGAGCTTAGGGTGACAGGAGGACGCTTGTGTCCTCCTGTTACCCTCAGGAGAATTATGGGGAAAAGCCCTAACCCCATAGTTCTCCTTTAAGGAGCTTATAAAACTCATGGCTCTCGCTTAGCTCCCTTTGGACTTGTGGTTATAAGCCATCAGGCCTGGTGACTAGTTTACATTTAGCTTTTCTAGTCTGTTTCAAACCCCATTTTCTGAAAACCATAAGGGTACTTCCTTTTCATTGGTATTAGCATTACTATTCTCTCTAATAAATCCTTCTGTTTCTTGTTTTAAACTGTAGGAATACATGTATACATACATATTTAATGCTTTAGCCTTATGCATGTCATTTGTGACCAAAGTACCAAATTTATCCCATGGAGCCTACTTGTTCTGCACTTACCTTTTTACTGTTGCTATATTTATAGAACCTTTTTAGGTTTTTCTTGCTTTTTGCCTTTTGTATAACATTTCATGTAACCCTTAAAGCTCCAACTATAAAAATATATATATTCATATTGGTCCAGTTTAGCACAATGTAAGTATATATAAATTATCCGTGGCAGGGCCACAGGGGTTGTACAATACACTGTAGCAACCACAGCTACTACAGTGTATTACAACTTATTTTGTATTTTGTGTATAGGAACAGCTGCTATGCTGAGCAACTTTCACTGTGCTGATAAAACACAGCAGCTCACTAGCTCAGCACAGTGGCCATTCAGAGGACACCTAGTATTTTTCTCAATGAATAGTCAGCATTCTCTGATTGGACAAGGGGCCGTGATGTTACAGCAGTCAAGAGAGGTGTCCCTCCCCATGCACTTTGTTTGATAATCCCTTGCCTATTAGCCTTGAAAGTGGTCAGAATTTATTTTCTGGATTTGCTCCCCTCTTTGCTTCAGTGGGGTACAGGTGAAGTTCACAAGTTTTGAAATTTACAAGTTTGCTGAACAGCCTGTGAATAAAACCCAGGCATATTTTCTCATCTCTTATCCTACATAGTTCCCATGAAATTTGGGAAATAGTGCAGAAAATTATAGATTCTCCCATCCACACTTATCCCCCTTATGCCTGCTGCTGAATATGCTGTTCCTGCGCCTGCTAAATACCCTAACGGTGCCTGCACCTGATTGGATGCAGGTGCTGTTCAGCCAGCAATTTTCCAATTTTCGAAGCTCCTTCTACAAAACAGTGCTGGGTTTTGATATGTGGGTCCAGTTACTGTTGACACTGGGTGTTCACAGAGGACATTGCGATTTAAAGATGGGAAATACTTCTGGGCTGGAACATTCAGCACAAGGCTGCATGTTAATAATGGTTCATCAACCATATTTTGAGAACACTTACATCAAATTTTCAACTAACTTATTAATGTCACAGTTTAGCATCAGAAGTTGCAAACTTAGAAATGTAGAAATATAGGGCATGTCTTGCATAGTCAGCTAGTTTGATAAAGATGCAGATCCATTCAAGCCAAAACTTTTTTGGGGTGAAGAAGAGTTAGATCCTTTGTTGATTTTTTTATTACTGTTCCCACTGAGGATATGTTCCCTCACTTTTTATCCTCTGGCACACAGGATTGAACCTGTGGCAACTTGTATTGTGTTTTTTTTAACAGATTAAAGTTTAATAGGCGTTTAATATATAAAAAAGACAAGTGAGACAATACAGGAAAACAAGCTACTCTTAGAAATCAAAGGGCCGCCATGAGGTACACTTCAAAATTGCAATGAAAAAGTTAACAGTTGCGCAGGGCAAAAATGCTCCTAATGCAGCTAGAGTACTGGCAAATAGAAAAAAGGAAGAAAAGGAGACATACAAAAAAAAAGAAGGAAAGATAAGTGGAAAAGCCATTTCCCCAAACCATGAATGATGAAGCCCCGCCCACTCTTTTGAGGTCCGTTGAATTCTCGTCAAGAGGGGCTTGTAATTACGATCATATTATAAGTTGGTCTGAGGGGCAAGAAAAAAACCCAGGTATTTAAGGCCCTGTCGTTTCCAAGCAAAAGGCAAAGATTGTTTAAGGTTATTTTCGAGGGAGATGGGCATAAACTAAGCTTGAACTCATGACCCTTCACCATGAGTCCTTGAATATCAGGGTTATTGTGAATAGCAGCTGCTAAGTGTTCCATCGCTGAGATATACAGGTAAGGGGATAAATGACAACGCTGGCAGGTGCCACTATGAACATCGATGGGGTTAGAGAGAATCCCATTGACCCGGACCCGAGCCACTGGAGCTTGGTATAATGCCAAAATGTTTGAGAGAAGATTAGAGGGGATACCTATGTAACGCAACTTTCTTCAGAAAGTTCCAATTGAGATGGTCAAAAGCCTTCCCCGCGTCAACTGATAGAAGACAAAGCAGAAGACTATGTTGCTGAGCATAAGCCATAAAGGTGAGGGTCTTAGAGGTGTTATCCCTGACTTCACAGGAAGGGACAAAGCCTACCTGGTCCAGGTATATAAAAGACGGTATAAAGGTCTTCAATCGGTCTGCAATAAGCTTAGCGTATATTTTTAAATCCACGTTAATCAAGGATATGGGTTGACAACTAGCACAGAGTGTTGGGTCTTTGCCCTCTTTAGGGAGAACAGTTATGTGTGCTTCTTGGGATTGTTTAGAGAAGGGCATGAATCAGATATGGAGTTAAAAATCTTATGAAGAATTGGGAGAAGGGAATCATGGAGAGTCTTATAGCATAGCTGAAGAGATTTCTTCTAAGGAAAATTGGGCAGAAAGAGATTCAATTTCTGTTGTAGGTAAGGTGGGCGGCCGTGGCAACTTGTATTTTAATGGCATATTCAGACTTGCCCGCTATCTTGCAGAAATACAATTTCATGATACTGCATGAAAACTGCATTTAAGTTAAAATCCAATTCTTTCCTTTGTGGCTGATTGTCATCTATGCGTTTTGACAAACAGGCCGCCAGAAAGTTTAGAATATTCTTTCAGGAAGTATACTTTTCCATGCAAGTAAAATGATGAAAATGTAACTTAAAAATTGTTTGATTTTTTTTTACCCTTTGCCTGCTGGATGCACAGGAAGAGCTCAAAAATGCCAGTTTACAGGAGAGAGGTTAACAGACAAATTTGAGAATATTTAATTATTCACTCAACTTTAATAACAAAGTTTCAAGAAGTTAACTATATTGATATAAATGTCAGTGTAAAAGTTTGTTATACTTACATAATCTGGATCCCAAACAATGTAGAGCAGCTTTTGTGAAACTACAATTACAAAATAGAAAATAAAAATAGCTAACATAATAAGTGGACTGACAACTCTCCATGTAACTTGCCAAAAAATGTTCGGTTTATGGCCAATCATAAATTCAACATCTTTGTTAAACCTGTAAATAAAAATAAAAAGTATATAATATATACAGCCTAACTAAACACCATACCATTAACAACATTTATAACATTATCAACAAATAATAGAATGCATCTGTTATTATATCTATAACTAAGTAAATTAATTTCCTTTCCCAAGAAAATTCCAATGAACCAGATATTAACACTTGCTTTTCTGAAGACTCTACCACTAAGATAAATTGACTTCTAGATTAGAAAGAATTTCTACAGGGCAACTGCAATTCTTTTTGAGATTTTTATATATGAAGCCAACATGTGAAAAATATTTTTTAAACATTATATCCTTTGGATAGCCTGGCTGGACCTAGACTCATTTTATAATTTCTAAATTGAAATTAATGTAGTTGATACAAAAGTTAAATTAAAAGTTAGGAAACAAGTAGTAAATACTTTTAGTTGTGGTTTACTAAGTGGACATCTGTGGTCCAGTAACACTTTTTATTTCATCCTTTTATTTGAACAGATCCTTCAGTGTTTTGGATCTTTAGACCTGCAGTTTGGTTGCACAGGGCCTCCTTTGACAAGAAGATATACTCTATGTTGTATTACACTTTTATCTATATTGCAATATTGCCATTTTGAAGCTATATATTTTGTCACATTTGAAATACTAGTCAATATTTTTTATAATTATATGTTTTATTTATTATTTTACATCGATAAAAGACAACATTTATCGACCTACATATGCATACTTAACATAATACATATACATAAGAATACACCTTCTGATCTTATAGCTATCCATTATTAACTACACATACAGTCCTCCCCTTTTATGAACACTGAACCATCAAAACATGCATAAGATGCAATCACAGGAACTGAGGCTCTTGTTGTGGGTAAATGTAATATTTCATAGATTTAATATTTCATATATTTTCACATACAGTATGTGCCTTAATGTGAAAGGATTATAGAACCTGTTTTTTTCATTTATTCAGTAACACATTTTTTGTAAGTAGACTTGGCCTTGCACAGTGGCGGAACTACCGCCGGTGCAGGCGGTGCCGCCGCATCGGGGCCTGAGGCTGTGGGGGGGCCCAGTGGGGTCCGGTCCTGGGCACCCCCACAGCCTCAGTGGGGTCCGGTCCTGCAATATGGGGCAGTGCAGGGTCCCGGTGTTACAACACCAGGGCCCCGCACTGCCGACGGGCTTCCCAGTGAGGGGAACCGGGGTCCTGTGACCCACCTCCCCTACCGGCCGCGTCCATAATAACAGGCGGCGGGAGGGGAGTCACAGGAGACGTGTGTGTGTTACACGCCCCGCCCCCTGCAATGAGTGCACACATCGACACATGGCTGCTGCTATCCTGGCAGGGTGAGTCCGAGCGGGGGAAGGGTGGCGGGGGCTCTTACTTCATGTAATTTGACATGTGGATTATAATGGGGAATATTACACTGTAATGTTCCCTATTATAATCTATTTCTCTGTTGTGTACTGCTATTTCATGTAATTAGACAAATGGATTATAATGGGGAATATTACACTGTAATGTTCCCTATTATAATCTATTTCTCTGATTAAATGATTACAGACAGGCCTCTGTTCTATCACAGTTTGAGACTATGTTAGAATGTGTGACCAGTGACGTGGTCACACATTTTATCGTAATCTCGCCAAGTTTTTTGGCCCTGGAACAGCTGATCGGTCCTGAAATGTCACTTCTATCCGACTTTGTGAGTGCGGTGAAATGTGAGATCGCAGTTGGAGAGAAGTGACATTTCAGGACCGATCAGCTGTTTCAGGGCAGATCGGTTCTCCGGCACATGCGATTTGCGATGCCGTTCTGCCCTGGAACAGCTGGGAAAGCACTGGAATGCTTCACCTATTGGCAGTCACACATTCCACCGCTGAAAAACTGGACGGGATTACGCTAAAACGTGTGACCACATCACCGGTCACACATTCTAACGTAGTCATAACCTTTGATAGAACACCGCCATCAGGGGGGTATGGCCGGTACCCATGTGAGGGGTCTGGGCAGCCTCTTACATGGGTATCAACTGTACCGGGGAAGCATGGCAGAGGTGACAGGGGAGGGGGTGGAGGAGGCCGGGCCCCAACAGCAGCAGGTAAGAAGAGTTGGGAGGAGGTACAGGGAAAGGGACCCTGGCGACCAGACCAGCCCACCTGGGACCCTGCAGAGCCCACCATAGAGAGTCTCAGGTGGGCTATGCAGGATCTATGGTGTGCTCTGCAGGGTCTCAGGTAAGTCCAGCACGCTACTGCAACATTAGACACCCCTGGGGGGGTGCGAGGACCAGTGTGATCCGCTCCAGTGCCCCCCCATCTTGGGAGGGGGGCCCAAGATAAAATCTTGCACCAGGGCCCTTTGGTCCGCCACTGGCCTTGCATATACAGTAGGTACATTAGGCTTGTGGCTAGTATTGATGGGCTGAACACACCTGAGTTCGGTTCTACCTCGAACTTTAGAACATGGAAAAAGTTCTAACTCGAACTTAGAACTCAATGAAAGTCTATGGGACCAGAATTCGGAAAATAAAATGTCTCCATTTGGAAGGCTTATATGCGAGTTATTGGCCATAAAAAGCTATGGGGATTCGGGTACTATCCTGGGGGACATGTATCAATGCAAAAAAACACTTTTTAAAAATACAGTTTTTTAAAAAGCAGTGATTTTAACATTGTTTAAAGTGAAACAATAAAAATGAAAAATTCCTCTAAATATGGTGCCGGGGGGGGGGGGGGGCC